GTGGTCCCGTGTCCATGCCGACGCAATATTCTGGTTTTCATGCTGATGTGAATTCCACTTTGGAACTCCTTTCACATGGTAATCACTTAGTCAGTTGTTAAAACAAAATATTCATTACAGCGTGGATGATACTGCTGAAAGTTCGTTTCGTATTCAATTAAACAGAGTAAAATAACACCAGAAAATCCCACGTATCTGCGAGCACTTTACAGTTACTGGGGGGGTGTAAATTTATTTCACTGTGGCACATGATTGTCAGTATCAGTATCTGTGAGAGGTAAATGAAAGCTGTGTATTGTTGTTTACTGATATGTTTTGTTTTGTCTTTCAAACAAAATGAGCAAAAAATGTTCCTTATCAAGTGAGAGTGACGCATAATTAACGACGAAAAAAAATCCTGCCCGTTTTAATTAATGGAGCTTTCCAGCAAAAGATCGCTTTGACACGCACTCGAATGTGTGCCGGTAATGTAAAAAAAATAACATCAGCAGCTTTCAAACACACACAAAAATGATAAAAGTGAACTACACGTTGCTCAGTTGAAGTAAACAATTATGTTTTATTGATAAGGTTCTCAGAAGAGTCTCGTTTCAGTGAATGTATAAGAATCATCGTTCGATAATACTGATTTGGTACATTATGACATCCAGCACGAGTCTCTTCACAGTGAGAGGGATCCATTACTGCTACTGCTGTTGGGATCTAGGACAGAAATATCTCTGCTTCCAAACAAAAAAACAGTCAAAAACAACAAACTGGGGATTGATTTTTGTAGATATGGAGTATTAGAGTGCCACAAAACTCTAGAGTAGTAAGACCAGCTAAAGATTTTGCACATTACAAGCCACTTCCTCTTAGAAATATAAAACTTGATATTCTGAACAATATTCTACTGTGCTGCATAAAGGTAGGTCTATACACTGTACATCGAAATATATTTCGAAAAAACAGATTTCACAGTTTTAAAGACTTTATTTAAAGTATAAACTGTTTTTTTTTGTTTGTTTTTTTTAAAACACTTTATTACATAAATTATTCTTTTCGAGAGTGACTATTATTTGCCCTGGCAGCAAACTGAAATTAATACAAAAACAAAATGAACATTTATTACATATTTTACAAAAGAAAATAAACTCATCCATTAATGTTCATTTCGAATAGAACTGGTGACTCATTCATGATTGTCATATAGTACTAAGAATAAATAAATAAAAAAGAATAAAATAAAATAAATACTAACTTAGCATGTTTTTTTTCCGGACTCTGTGAGTGTTGTGTTTGATCGTTCTGTACAGAAGTGCCTTGGTGAAAGTCTCACAATTCTACCGCGACTGAAACGTACAAAACTACGGCATCTACAGTATACGCAACATCCTGAAATTTAGTGTAGTCTGACACATATGTAGTAATATGATTCTTCTCCCCATTTCAAAATAAACAATGCTGTGTGATACCACTGTCCACAAATATAGCCATCACTTCTTTTTTGAGTTTTTTTTTTTTTTCCTTTTTTTATTTAAAAAGTTCATTTTCCAGTCCGTTAACAACTTGGATTTTCAAGGATGCCGTTAGCCTGTGTGTTGCTTGGTTGGATGTGCGCCGCCTTCAGCAGCAGAGGACGGGTTCCGTGGTGGACGATGGGAGGCCTGAGACAGGGAGACGACTCAAAGTATTGGACGACCTTTAACATTACGTTGTCTGTCGTGGTTCACAATGTCCTCCTCTGGTTGCGTGGTTGTAATGGCTGCACTCTGGAGTGGCTTTGTCTCCGCTTTGGTCCCTTTTGCCTTCAGTATTTATTAGAGACAGACAAGCCGCAGATCGCAGAAGCCGCCACGGCACAACTAACTCCCCCCCCCCCACGTGATCAGTAGCTGTCGTGGTCGCTCTCAGTGTGACCCAAAAAATATGGGCGAAAATATCACTATCTTTTTTAAAAAGGGGAATCTTCTTATTCATTTAAGCAACAGTTCTCAAAGTTCTTCAGTGCTTTTTCAGTTGTTCAAAGTTTTTTCAACAACAACGAAAAAAAACAAAACAAAAAAAAAAAAGAACGTCTGACTAAACTTGAAATTTTTTGCCTGTGGCAGTAAAATTAACAATATGTTTTCTGATAAGTCATTCTTTTCAAAAGTCCCTGCAGCGTTCCGTCAATAACCCCGTTTGTTGGTTAATTCTCCATGGGTTTTTGAGAAAAGTAAGGTCGAGGAGGCGGGGTGGGAAAAAAATAGGAACAGGAACAGAATTTCGAGAAGTGAGAGTGGGAGAGAAGGAAAAGTCTGCCCTTCAAGTGAGTTCAGGTGGGCTGTTACCTCTTGCCCATCTCGTTCTGTCTGAGAAACTGGATGTTGTTGCTGCTGTCAGCCAGTTCTGGGTACTGCTCCACAGGCAGTACATAGTAGCCATCGTAGCCCTGTACTCTCCCTGTTGTTAGGAGCTGCTGTCTCTCCCCTTCCGTCCAGAGGCGACTGCCTCCCTTCCCATCTCGAGCCCGCTGCTGCTCCTTGGCCCAGCCTCCTGCCAGGGCCCTCTGCCTGGCCAGCTCCAACAGTCTTACCTTCTCTTCGTCCACCACATCCACAGCGAGGCCGTAGCGAACGCTCAGTACTAATGATGGAACCGCAAACTCCACAGTCACTCCTCTCCTCGACCGGCCGCTCACCGTCACGTTGATGCCGCTCTCCAGTGACTTGCGCCCGTTCGTCAGGCCCAGAGCCAACAGGTCGCTGTCAGCAGAGCCTACTTTCACAAAGTAGTGACAGTCCTTCCCATCCTGCGTGTAATGTGTGCCTTCCAGATACTGGGCGCCGTTGAGCACCAGAGCCACTTTGCGGCTGTCGTCACTGGCCAGCGCCGACACGCCTGCCACCACTCGGCCCTCCTTCAGCGCCAGCATCACTCCTCGGCCTATTATTGGGGTGCTGGTGCCGAACCAGTGGCCGGGTTTGTCCTTGCGCCTGCGACGCTCCTTGTTGAGCAGACGGCCTTCCAGGGCCATGAAGGCCTGGTTGTGGCGCTCTGCCGCCTGCTGCACGCCGGTGATGAGCTGCATGAGAAAGTGGAAGAAAGTTTTGTCGTTTTGCAGAAAGAAATGAGGACGTATTAACGCAGGAGAAAAGTGGAGGATGACTGAGACAATGGTGCTCTAGGACTGAACAGTTTGGGGTATTGTTTTGACAAATATTAGTATTTTTTCAATTCAATCTTCACTTTGTAATAGATTTAAAATACGATGGAGAATCACCACATGAGACGCCATCAAAAGCGTGACTGTCACACAAGGAGGCCGTGAGTCGGTAAAAGCGCCGACACGACAGTCAGACGTGCCTCACATTTTAAACCGCAGCCTTTGCACGTTGTAAATTGCATTGTTTCAACGTGCGATTTCAATTTTAAATCGATTAAATATTCAATCCCGGCGTACAGCCCATTTCATTATGAGAACAGCTATATCTTTTGCACGGCAGACTTTACCTGTCCATTCTCACAGTGCTGGGTGGCCTGCAGCTCGTACGGTGGCTCCACAAAATAGAGCGAGTGTCGAGGGAACCCAGGGATTATGTTGCTGAGCTGGAAGCCAAACATCACCAGCCAGCTCTTCACATCTACAGCAGCAGACAAGAGGGAGGGGGAAATTATATCGCTGAATGACAAAGTTAAACACAGTTGTAGCAAATGAATCATAAATTTTACTATGGGAAAAAAAAGTGTGTTTGCATCTGTGACTCATCTGGTGTTATGCAAAGCTACTGGCCACGGTTCCATCTGTAGTGCATTGTTACTAGTGGAGAATATCTCATCCATAACAATCAGTTTCTGTCTAGTTTTTAATAAGTAGGAAACGGACAGGTTGGAATACTTAATAAGCATTTGAGACGAATGCCTCACTATGAATAAAAAAGCCAATCAGTACATATCAGCCCTTTACCTGTGACGTAGTTTTTGACATCCAGCATGTCACTGAGCGGGTTGTTGTTCTTGAACATGTACAGATTAAACGGAGACGGGTCTTTTCCTATCTTGGGCCAGATGCTGTAGTCAGGTGAGGTCCAGCGTCCTGCCAAGACGTCGTAGTCTCGCTGGGTGAAGTGGACCAGCTTGGTCAAGGGGTCGTACAGCCCTCCGTGGAAACCCACCACCAGCGGGAACTCCGGGTTAGAGTCGAGGTACACTTCGCCGTAGGCTGTGTACTGCACCTGCAAGACCCAAGCAGAGGCGGTTCGCTTTTTTGTGCTTCTCTGCTCTTTGTGTCAATGTCAGATTTAGAGTCTCGCTGAAGGATGCTTTGGCTCAGCAGAGGCCAGAGGTTTTCACATATGCACTTTTCTTTTTGTCCTCACCGCTTTTTCAAATTTTTTTATTCAATCAAAAAGGAGGAATAATGCAGTTTTTGTAATACTTGAGTGATGAATATTAATTTGGTGGGATTCACAGCTGCTTTGGGTTTTACCTGTTTGATCATCTGTCCATTGCTGCTGAAGACCGCCAGCGGTGTGCCGGTGTTGTCAGAGGCTATGTAGTATTCCTCCCCGCTGCTCACCTCCATGGCAAACAGATGACCCTAATCATGAAGAAATTCAGTTTTCAGATCATCGTGAATATTCCAGGATAAAGTTTTTGCCCATTCATCCCTCAGTTAGTCTATTCTGTCATCCTCTGTCTGAAGCTTCCCACACAAGATTTCTTCACATTCTGCTGATATCTGGAAATATAAATACGACTATTGGTAGACATGACACGTCTCCGTCCTCGCACACCTACCTGCAGGTCATAGTAGAGTGATGAGATGTCAGAGCTGGAGTGATTGAAGATGTGCGTAACCCTGGTCGGATGGTTGAGGTCAGCGTAGAAGAACTGAAGGTGCTGCCCCAGGCTGTTCCTCGTGGACACCCTGCGGCCGAGCCCGTCATAGTGATACACAACGCTCCAGCCTCCGGGCCCTCTGTTGTAGGCCCGCAGGAGCTGACCTTTGGAGTTATAGTCAAAAATGTCTGAACCGCGCTGGCTGAGGAAGCCGTCTTCGTCCAGGCGGTACTGGACGTCTCCCAGGCGTGTAATGCGGTCTCGGAGGTCGTAGCGGAGTGGCAAGATCCGGGCGCTGTTTCCGGGATTGAGCAGGTGGAGGTTGCCGTTCAGGTCGTAGCTGTAGCGCCAGGTAGACCAGTCGTTCACCTGGGAGAAGCAATGAGATGCATACGTGTGTCAGGCCAACCGCTAGCAATGCACTGACAACTCAAAAGGCAGCCACAACTCAAATTAAGTGCAGTGGACACTTCAGCCTGTAAAGTGCCTCGAATTTAAGTCTCTCCACACAGAATATTCACCTTGACGCCGCTGAGCTGTCCATCTCCATCATAATCATAGCGGTACTGAGTGGTGTTGGCATAGGGCCCAATCTTGAGCTCCCTCTTCACCACCCGTCCCATGCTGTCGTACTGCACCGTCATCCAGTACATAAGGGAACGGAAGATCTCGTACTGGACCTCCTTGATGCGACCATGAGTGTCGAAATGCTTACTCAGTGTCATAACGGCTGTGGTGATTATCTGATTGATGTCGTAGTAAATGACCCCAAATTTTCCAAAGTGCTCCACCTAAAGAAGGAAAGGAAAAGATTAGGAAAAAGCTGAGTCCTCTGGCAGCTAAGAGATGCATTCAGTTACTTTGCTTTTTTAAGTTTAGCTCTTTTGTATATTGTTGCTTAAAAAACGGAGCAAGAACTCTTCACCTTTCCAGAGATCTCATCATATCGGTACAGGTCAACAGGAAGTGGCGTCTCACTGATGACTGGCTTCATGCTGGCGATGCGGAAGCTGTTGTCGTGGTAGGTGTAGTCAAACCTCGCGTTGACCATTCCCTCCTCACTGAAGCGATAGATCTGTTTGTCGATAAGCGGGCCCATTTTGCGATAGCGGATGGTGCAAGAGAAGCCCCCGCTCTGCAGGTTGACCATCTTCAGCACACCTGCCGTCTCATCGTAACCGAAAGTGACAGCAGTGCTGTCGTACACGATCTCTGACAGCTTCGCCAGCTTGCCGTATTTGTAGAGGACACGGCGGCCGGTGCCCAGGTAATGCGTGGCCTGAGGTCTGCCGTCCTCGCTGAAGTCGTGGATGATGGAGGCGTTGCTCTCTGGAGGGTTGTATGTGTTGCGGATATAGCCGACTGACACGTGTGTGAACATTGTGTGGCGAGCGACGCTGGGCATTGTGACGGCTGTGACACGACCCGAGGCGTCAAACTCAAAGACGTACTGCCTTTGGCTCTGCAGGAGCAGCACCATGGACTGGAAGCAGAGAGGAAGGTGAAATACAGATTAATACAATAGCAATAATAGCACCGGGAGTAAATTGCTCTCATCTGACAAATCTGAACCTTCATAACCATAAAAATTATATATTATTTAACTCAGTTCTACAATTTAAATCACTATACTTTCCTGCAGTTTCCTTTCTTGGTGTGATTTGACTCTTAGATGACAGTGTTGAAGACACATGTACTTACTTTGTCGAGGTAGCTGTAGCTCCAAACCTTCCCGTCCACAAAAGAACGGGACAGGATGCGCCCCTGGGGGTCAAACTCTGTCCTCTCGCTCATGCTCCCCCTCTGCAGCCCAACGAGCTGTCCGGTGGTAGAATAGGAAACATTGACCACTGCCAGGCTGCTGCTGGGCAGCCACATAGCCGGCCGACCCTGAGCATCGTACATGATGCGCAGCGTGAACTTGCGGTGGTCGTCGTAAATCTTCTCTGTGCGGGTGTTGCGATCAAAATCGATGGAGAGAAGATTGCGGCCATGAGCCTAAAGTAAAAGGAAATGTTTCTCAGTTACAGTTTAATGCAGAGATGCAGGTTTAGTAAATTACATATCTAGAATGTAAGGTACCCTTAGTTTCCTTCCGAACACGGTGATCTTGCCCTTGGTCTGCTCCTTGCGCAGACGCCACTCGATGGAGTTGAGGCCGTTGTCTGTTGGCAGGGTGATGTTCCTCCGACCAATCGTTGGACTGACAGAACCTGCCAGGATGTGGGGCTCCGTGTGGAAACTGATGCCCATCCCATTGGCGTACATCACTCTCAGTGTGCCGTTGTTGCACAGCTGATAGCTGTTTCTCACCTGGTCTGTAGGGGGAGACAGGTAGGCAGAGCGTAAGAAGAGGAGCACTCAGGACATCTGAGGTTCATCTCATTTCACTAATTTCTTGTCTTGTCTCTCCTCTGTCCTTCCGTCTGTGACCCAGAAATCAATCTTGGTGCACAATCACAAAGGACATCTTAATTCCTAAAATGCATCTTGAGGACGGAGGAGACTTGGTGGAGGAGCTATTAGTGTCCTTTTCAAACACGTGGGATTAAAGACAGAGCTGGAAAGTCCAAATAATGTCCCAAGCAGGGCTGAAAAATGCATCTATCTAATATGTATATCAATCATTATGCGGTATTTCATTGTGGTACTCTTTTGTGTGCCAAAACAGTTTATTTTTCACAGCACATCATAGGACATCTGTACATCCTCGTCACATTCTGCCACATTGTGAATCAGCTTATAAGTAAATCTATACTGTAAGTTATCCTGAACACTGTGTGGCTCATGTGACCGGTATAAAACACAGTGGCATGTTACCACAATTAAATGACGTTGCTTTAAAACAACGGTTCTAAAGGTGAGGATGCCTTTAAGGCCTGTTGCCTGGACTCCTCTCTTCTTGCCTTCTTCACGCATGTCTCCACGAGAAGAGAAGTTGAGAAAAGGAATCGAGGAGGCACAAACTGGAAAATAACATGGGAGGCTCGTCTTTGTGTTCAAATTTATAAAAGGGGGAAACAAACAGCAGCAAATCCAACTGCGGCAGTAACCTGAATTATGTGATTGGGTTCAAACAAAGTCACTGAAAAAATGCTGCGTGTCAGGAACAAAATGATCACATATTAGAAACAATTCCTATAAGAGCTGGGTCAGGGCATTGGTTTGATATGGAGGACATGGACATTGGATAGGACGTGGACACTGGGGGAGGAGGATTCATGATTCATATTGCGACTAATAGCTGCCATAACCTCCAGATTTGGAGGAAAGGCTCTGTGCTCTCCATTTTTATGACCTTTTAGCCGAGGACACACAGGATCATCCTCTCTTGAAAACGTAGACAGAGCCACATGAGAAAGATAAAGAGATTGTGGACACATTTTGGTTCCTTCAGAAGAATTGTATAATGTTACCTTCGCATTTTTTTTTCAGCCCTGCTGCATTTCTCCCCAAAAATATGACACAAGCTTTTGACTTTTTGCATTCAGCTGATGCTTTTGAGACACGACAAACTGCAACTAAAGACGGGCGCTGGCAGATCGAGGGGCCTCGCTGACAGACCCAGATGTTTACTCTAGCATTTGCCACGCGAAAATCCGAGCTTAAACCCGAACCAGTCAATCACACGCGATCTGATAGGACAGCCACTTCACGTCGACCAACATCTAATCAAAACGGGAAATTCCAAGTCATAACGGATCATGTCAGCAAGAAGCAGATCGTGGCCATGAAATGTTTACAGACCTGATTCCTCTCTGAAAAGAGAAAAAAAACTATTCTGAATGAAAGTCGTCAGGCTAAACAGACATCTCTCTACAATCTCTGTATCGCTACGATTTAATGACTCTCTCACAAGAATGGAAGCAGATAAGCCCATGCCTAATGCTGGCTCAATTATTCCTCTGATGTCTGAAAACAGACGTCCTGATCACAATGAAGTGATTTAAAGAGATAAAATTGTTTTTAGCTCATCTGGAAGACGTAATTTTTTCTATTTTTTTCATTTACAAAAGGTGAGCGGATCAGTTAGGTTTTCCTTTTGAAGTCCTGCCATAAATGACAGTAATCCATAAGGCCAATTTGTAATAAAGCTCCAGGCACATTTTAACAATGCCTCAAACAGACAAGTGAAGCTTTTTCCATTGACTTGGCAGCAACAGCCTTTAGATAAATCTTCTGTGCTCTCTCTGTCTGAACAACCTCGTAATAAAACCGAAAGCGAGGTAGAGGGAAAGAGAGAGAGAGAGAAGGGTAGAGAGAGGGAGAGGGTGAAATGAGAGCTTGAGGGCCAAGGAGAATTCACTGTGCAGGAGTTAATGAAGAGAGCGAGAAAGAGCGGAAAAGAGAGGGAGATGGTTAAGTGAGTATGTCAGCAGAGAGCTGTGCTGAAACCCACACAGTGCAGAGGAAACCTTAAATGACTTACAGCTTTGTGAACAACTCTCCTTCTACCGCAACACAGGTGGATCACTGAATATATCTACAACCTATTCTCGGGCCTTTCGGACTGTTTGCGGCGCGGCCCCGAATTCATACTTCTGTCACGCCGGCTGCACTGGTCAAGGAAAGGGAGACAATTATTCTCTGTCTTTTTCCTCCTCTCTAAACAGACCAAATAAGCTCGGGGATCATGGGAACTGGTTGAGAGCTGTATTTGTATGTCAGTGCGAGTGTGTGAGTGTGAGTGTGTGTGTGAGTGAGGAGAAAGCTTGAGGGATGAGGAGGATTCACTCTACATCAGTTAATGAATTTTGCTGTGATGATACTCAAAAGCAGGATGATCCCAGCTGGGATTAACAACTATATATTGGTAATTTTACTCCATGAGAGGAGGGGTGAGACAAGGCTGGATGGGGGGGCGAGGAAGGAAAATAATCTCCTGGAGCAGGCACATAACTGAGTAAAAATTACAACACTTTCAATTAGAGCCGGCATTCACATCACAGAGGGTGGCTGTGTTTTTGAATACTAAGATGAAGTAGCTCTTGAGTCTGTGCAAATCTCGTTAAAGCACTGATAGCATATAAACAGATCCTTTTTTTAAAAGATTACATAAAAATCCACCCAAAATAATCAATAAACAACATTTATATTGAATTTGGCTTCATGAATTTTCATGATGCTGACTTGAGCGCCGCGTTTCGTCCACCTTTGTGCCCCGCACTCTGCAATTTTACAAGTATTTAAAAATTCATGAGCGGATCATTTTCCACTGCATGCCCCCCTCCACCCCCCATCCCGGCGTGCTGAGTGTGTCTCTACCTTGCACCACGGTGTACGAGGCTTCCACAGAGGACAGGTTGGTGATGACCGTGACATCGTCGTCCCTGCTCGAGCTCTCAATGTCAATGTTGATGGAGCGCTCAATCTCGCGGTGCAGACTTGTCACCATGCCCGTGGGGTATGTCACATTGGTCAGGCGACCCTCGCTGTCGTACCTGAGGGGATGGAGGGAGCGAGGGGGTGGGAGATTGTGGTGAAGAATTGCAAGGAAGGGATGTGTTCCTGCTTGTTATTTGCTGCAACACGTGTGCGCACAACTGAGATGTGCGCCGCCAGAACGTACAGCTCATGCAACAGGGATCGGCTGCCGCTACAGAAGCTAACACTGGGGGGCAGCAGTACACTGTGTGAAATGTGAGAATAAAAAGAAGGATTTGGAGGGATAGAAGACACACATGGCCTGTATCACACACTTACTGGTAAAATGTGGTCCATCCAGTCTCGTCAGCTTTGGTGGCGAGGAGACCTGTGTTGCCACTGTAGCCCATCAGAGCCACTTCCTGGCCCAAGGCGGAGACGCTACGCAGCCCTCCAGTGGGGTCCAATCCGAGAGTCACCACTTGATTCTCGGGCAGCAGCACCAGCCTGAGCAGGCCGGCTCCTCCTCCCTGGCCCAGGCCGTCCCTCCTCACCTTGACAGTATTGTTGCAGTTATCCACCAGCATGGCCAGCTCGCCGTCAGGACCGTAGGTGAAGTTGAAAAGCGGCTCCCCGGTCACTAGGCTGATTGTCTGGATGTGAAGCCCTTCCCCGTTGAACACATACAGCTCCTGCTCTCTTGGCGACGCAACTTCGTACTGCGCAGATCCCCCGTACCCGACGCTGGAGAGGGCAGGTCCGGGCCGGTTTGCCCGCACGGCTCTGATGCGGATGTTGTTGAGATCGGCGATGAACAGCGTCCCATCGGGGGACACAGCCAGAGACGTGGGAGAGTTCAGGCCGGCGTCAGGGGCGTAGCCGTCATCGCCGTAAAAGCAGTTGCAGTTGACGTCGTTCTTGCAGTCGCAGTCGGAGGCAGCGCCAGCCAGGAGGGAGATTTCTCCATTTGTGCTCACCTAAAAAAAAAGTGCACAGAAGAGAGCAGATTAATAATGAAACTGGAAGAAAAAAAAAAAAAACAGTCACCACTAAATAAAAGAAAATGTATTACTCACAGCAAAATTCATTTTGAGTTAACAAAATTGAATATAGTCTGGAGATCTGAAAGAACATCTTAAAAACACCCACACAGCCGTACCAGCTGTGCTGTCAGGTTTGGTGGCCAAAAATAACTTTATACCAACAAATTCGCTCCAAAACAACCAGACAGCCAAACGTCTGCGTTCAGTATCTGTCCATCTCGTACCTGTCGGACTCGGTTTATCTTTTTCTCATCCGTCTCAGCGATGTAGAGGATGCCGGTGTGGGACAGGGCGATGGCGGTGGCGCTCTCCAGGGCTGCATGTATGGCCAGCTTACTGAGGCTGTAGTCGATCCCCGGCACCTGGCAGTGCATCGGTCGACCTGCTATGATGCTCACCTGCAGGAAACAACGCACGTTTAATGCTACATCCACACAACAAAAAGCAGATATGTGGTTGGCTAATGAAACAGTGCAGATAAAACTTTTCATATTGCAGCAAGACTCCAGAAAAGTAGAGAATTCTTACAGCTAATTAATCAGTAATTTTGACTCCACTGCAAAACTTAGAAAACCGTGTTACAATTTGAACTTTTACTGCTAAATTGGCTTGAGAGAGCCTAATTGGGACAAAAATCTTGTCAAAGCTCTATAGTGAGTGTCCTCCCTAAGGGGTTTGCAGTGGTCATCAAGCCTTGTGGTACAGACCTGGTGGTTCTCAGTGATGCGTAAGATGACATTGTTTTCCAGAACATAGAGGGAGTTGTCCATGGGGTTCACTGCTAAGTCTGTGGGCCACTCAAGACGCACCTGGTAGGCAGAAACAGAACATGAGACAATATCTGCGCCGTGGGGAGACGTTTTGAAGGGATGCCAAGGTTCAGACAAGTCTCTTCTTCATTTTTTAAGTGACTGCAGCACTGCTCACTTTCTTTTGATCCATTAATTTATCCATTGACTCTTTAATCCCTCCCTAAATCAGTCTCTGCCTGACCTCCTGGCTGGCTCGTGTCCACGCAGTCATCATAGCTCAGCACTAAGGAGGGCTCTTAAATCATCATCTATCACACCATCACCTTTTGTCTCTTTTTCATTCCCTCCTACCTGGCTGACGTCCATGCTGGAGTCACAGCTCAGTGGCCGCACGGCGGTCAGATCGTTGGCCCCCAGCAGAGTGGAGATGATCCCATTCTGGTCCACCTTGCGGATCATGGTGGCATCCACGAAATACATCAGCCCGTTTTTATCCACTGCGATACCTGTCAGCGCGGAGATGAACGCCGTGAGTGACGACTCATAACTCAAACACTGCAGGCAACCCATAGACATTTTAAGTCAATTAAACTTCGCTCTTTCCGCTGCTGAAAACAGATAGCAGCCCTGGCAGCTGAATTGCTCGATGCTTCATCAAATGAGAGGGAACACAGTGATGAAACGGGCATTGAACTGTTGAGAAGTGTTAGTTTTGGGATGAGTCATCGGGATGCAGAGCTGAGCTCATGCTCCTCTCTGAGGGCAATTGTCGACTGCAAGCATATTGTCTAGAATGGCAAGTGATTTGCTGCGCTCTTCTTCCTTTTCCTGCATTTTTTTTCTGTAATCTCCGCTTTCCTGCTTTTCATTTGCTCATGCCTCTTTCTCTATTTTACCGTTTACCAGTTGGGCGGTGTCAGCTTTGTTGGCCCAACAGGCAGCAGGCATTCAGAGAGGTGAGACTGTTCAAGCCAACGGTGACCCAAAATAACTTCTAGATGCACTGAGACACAAAACAACAGATGGAGGATACAGCGAAGGGCACGGAATAAATGAGAGAGAGGGACGAAGAGGGAAGAGAGGGTGAGTTACAGAACGGGAAGAAGCAGGCAGAGAGAGGGCAAGCTGATTTGCCGGCCGACTTTCTCCACGACGGGTAAGAGGGAATCAGCGGCTCATTGTCGCGAACCACACACACTCGTGCGCAGTGTATATATACTAACATCTGCAGTCCTACGTGTACACACACTTGTGTCGCCGACAAGAAATGTGACAGTGTGACATCTTTGACAGTTTGGTGTCACCGTGTTCTAAGATCCAATGATCCACAAAAATAATTCCATTATAAGTTCAACATTAACCCGGTTTATAACCTCCTTCTGTGGCTGCCCTGCTTTATTTGAGTCACAAGATGGGCATATTATGAAAAATCTCTCCATCAGTGAAAATTTTAAGGCATTTTCAATCAGATCGCAGTCAGATGGAGGCCAGCGTAACCAAAACGCCTTTCAGAGACCGAATATCAGGATTATCCTCATTATTCTAATTCATCATTTGAATTCAGGAACATTTAATGTGAATAAAATCAAGATAATTGCCTCCTCACCTTTGGGGCTCATAAGTGTGGCTTCAGTAGCTTTGCCACCGTCGCCGCAGCGTTCGTCAAAGGGGAGGCACTGCTCCCCCGTCCCCGCCACCACCTCGGCGTTGTCCGACAGCAGCCGGCCACCAGTTAATGAGCGAACACGGTAAATTCGTCGGGAGTTGGTGTCTGAGATGAACAACGCTCCAGACACTGGATCCACTGCCAGGAAGTACTTATGGGTGGGGTTATTACTGGGGTGACAGAATAATAAAAAAAAAAGAAAAAGAAACGACATCATTGTTATGTCAGTGAATGGCTTGAGTTTATATTTTCACTGCAGTATGTGTCCTAGAAACTTTTAATTTATCATCACAAGGACCCTACCTGTGTCTGAAGTCTTTGTTCCTTTAAGGGAGATAAAAGCACAACAAAAACAAATGTTAATTCACACAGTCTGTGGAGAGCATCCTACAGAGAGCAACACAAAGCTGGCTGTGGTGTGAACAGCAAAATTTAAACATGTGTAAAAACACCCTGGAGAGATGATGCCTCGTACAGTTTATAATTCCACTTCGGTCGTGCCATCCCTAGTGTCTCACCTCACTTCTTTCATCCAACCTGTTATATGCACTGAAAATATCTAGTCTTTATCCCTCTTGTTCTCCTGTTAACTTACTTCACTCTAAACAGCCCTTATTCTGTCACTATTTTTTCCTGCAACATCAAGAAACCTCTAAATCCCAAACTGCTACCTAAATGATTATTCTTTTACTTTGTTTTTCTTCCATTTTTTTTTATAATTGATTTTTTTTCTTTTACCTCAATTCCAGGATGCCAGTAGTGTTCATAGACGGGTACACCCGGCGCACAAAGTTGAGATCCCCGACGTAGAGGCTGCCGTCGATGCCCATTGCCAAGGCAACCGGCGCCAGCAGCTTGTTGCCGTCCGCCAGGCCGTTGCAGCTGGGGCACGAGATGCTGCGCCTGCGGCCGTTTCCCATGATGCTGGTGATTACCGGGGGCTGCTCCGTCACAAAGATGTTCTCACCGCTGCCTTTGTGAAGGATGCCTGCACATGAGGAAAGACGAAACAGAAACACGGAGTCATTATTTCAGAGCATCTAGAGTTGTAATGGAAGCTTATGCATCTATTTCCTAGCCATGCTGGTGGTGTGGCTCTTGGCACATCCCCATGATGAAGAACTCTAGCATGTGTCCCTTAACTCTTTGCCAGTGCCACATACGACAGCTCAATAGTATAAAAGGAAGGAACTGGACACAAAAACAAATTTGGGCTCGCAGTCGGTCGCTCCCTGTTTGTGACATTTCACCAAACTACCAAAATTCAGAAAGGCAACGACCATCTGTAACTCCTATGTGGATATTTGACTCCAAATACAAACAACTTTTGAAACGTGCAATAAAAAAAAAACCCCACAGTGAGCAGCCAGATGCTGTCACTTAGAGATAAACTTTCTCTTCATGTAAGAACTGCTGAGACTTTAGAAACTTTCAAGTCACTGCTGAAGAACTTTTCTCCTTTAAAATTCAATCCAAGTAGAGCTTGATGCCCTGAGTTTCTCTTTTATTGTGTTGTGGCTTTTCTTTTTCTTCATTTTTATGGTGTTTTTATTCGGATTTGTCTTTTTTAGTCACTGTGTTGTGTGAAATGGGTTGCTATTTATAAGTGTACATCACTATCGTTTCACTACTGTTGTTTTTAATGTGCATTGCAAATAAATTTGACCTGACTTCCGGGTAGATTACTTTCCTATACAATCCATGCTTGCAGAGAAAAAAAAAAGGGGATTGGAGCATTCTGATTAGTTCTCTGCAAACACGCTAATATTTCAACCCTTCATCAGGGTTAAGGTGGACAAAGACAAGAGGCCAACAGGTATATTTAATCTAAACTAGATGTACAATTGCCATTGGATAACTAGTTGAACAGGATTTCAGATCTTCTGGTCGATGAATTTAAGGCTGGGAGTTGCCAGCATCCAAGTGCCACGCCATGACAGAAACATTGGAACACAGACTTCTCTTAAAGTTACAGACATAAAAGTGCATCGAGTAGCCGAACAAATATCTGTCAAAGGTGACACCCCAGAGGAAACATGACAAATCAAGTAACGCATTTATGTCAGAGGGCTGACATCATGTCAGACACAAAACAAACCTCTCCTAAAGTTACAAGGATAAAAGCACAAAAGCACAGGTATGAATATCTGTCAGGTGTGACAGCTCAGAGGGAAACATGATAAATCCAGTTCTTCATTCATGCCAACGGGCTCGACTGTGTTTAAAAGTGTAAATCCAAAATGCCTCAGTTTATAATGTTATCAACTCCCGGCGAAAGGAGGAATTTTTTTTTTCTAGAATTCAGAAGTTAAAATGAAGATTTAAATGTCAGAGGAAAAGTAAGCAAACTGTGGATAATGCATTTTGCTAGAAGACGCGTTGAGAATTCTGTTTATACCACCCATGCTTGGTTTTTGTCCATTTTGTGGGCTGCAGGAAAAACATGTTTATACACCGCTGATTCTGCTGTGAACTGTGGCAACAAGGACATTTTTGTACGTTTAGTTCATGAGGGAGAAGAGAGACGAGGATATCCATAAGTTTCAAGCAGACCTTCGCGCGCTGTCTAACTTGCAAAAATACATTTATTAGCTCAACGCCGGGTGCTAGACCTTCATCAAGCCATTTGCCTGGTGAAGGTCTTGCAATGAAATGCGTCAGTAGCACAAAAACGCTGCGAACAATGGACAAGTCCCTCAAGAAAGTTGATGAAAGGGCATATATTAGCATCAGAAAGCCTTCACGATCTCAGACGATTTCACATTACGATGCCCCTGAACCAACATGCACCTCGAGGGAACTGAGCATACTTAGATCTGGATATGAGCATTTAGCTTCAAGCAGTCACATCTCTAGTTGTGTCCAGGTAAAAAAAAGAACGAGCATCGTTTATTCAAACAAAAACAAAAGGTGCCTCTGCGCTCCGCACCCCGACCCCCTGCCTCACTTCCGAGTGGCTGCCGCTGATTGGTTGGAGCGCAGTTTTAGTGGATGAGGGAGTCAAGCTAGGTGAGACAACACAAGCTCTTCCTGTGAAAATCATCACTGACAGGTAAAAAGAGGCGCCTGGCAACTCCACGTGAACCGCGGGAAGCGCAGTGTGGTCTAAATCCTCCCCAAGAAAATTGCACGTTTAGTGAGATATACAGTACTGTAAACCTGCTACATGTGGGGAGCTGGATAAATATAGACTCGTATGGAAAAACGGTGAAGAACCCGCATTCATTTGCGTGCAAATATCAGTCGTGTGCACGTACCACTGCGTGTGTTGAGTATGTGGTGCTTGTTGAGTGACCAGCCGCCCAGACTGGTGGGATCCAGCTCGTAGCCTTGCAGGATGGCGGTCCTCTTCTCCCAGAGGATGAGGCTGGCACACGACTCGTACTCGTAGCCCACGGACACTACATGCAGGAAAGAGTAAGAGGCAAGATCGATGTAAGATACAGAAATTGAACAAAGAAGAAACAACACAGGAAGAAAGGCAAAACTTTATCATATCCTATTCTCCCAAGTTCGTTTAGGTTGTGAAACGTGTGATACACAGAGAAGCTAGTTAGCACCTGTACCAAAACCTGCACTCACACCTAACTAACACTCTCACATGCCGCTAAATCAATTAAAAACCTTGTTAATTGGAAAGATTGCCCAGTAGGCCTTTTAAAACCTAGAGGCCACTGTGAAAACTCTGCTGGTGGAAAAAAAACTTTGGCCTAATTACGCACATGTCCTGACAAGAGTCTCTTTTTGTTTGAATAAATGTGCACTTCATGCAAAAGAAATGAGCAGAGATGAGGTTTCATGCATTAGGATGGAGGTATACGCTGTGTGAATGCATGTGTGTGCAGTTGTGTTTCTACTTGTTAAACGGAAAAGTGTCTTAACACATCAACTCCCACTTGAGTCGCAGCGAGAGTGCTGTTGCCAGCACATTTTCAGCTCCAGTACAAACAGTAATGTAGTATACCTGCATCCGTATCTACGGTTAGCAAAACATAACCTAATCATCCGACATGTATATCCTCCCTATTCCTTGGGAAATGTAAAAATTGCAGCTACCCTGGGGATCTTTTGGGATCTTTGAGTGAATGTAATTTCCCAAACAGTTCGCCCCTCGTGATTTCAGTCCACACTGAAGCCCCAGATGTCCACTGCATCTGTGGCCTGACAGCAGTGTTTGGCTGACAGCATCTGTGAGCGACTGTGACAGCAGAATGTAATAGCACTGAGGCTCCCCTGGACTCCTGCTTGCTGCTCCAGTAGTTAACTGCTAGCTCACCCTGATGGCTAATAACCCTTCACCACAGTTACGGCTGGCTGAGTGAACCAAACGCAGCTTCAATGAAAAATAGACGTATGAAAAAAAAAAAAAAGAGAAAGAAAAAAAAAAAAAAAAAAAGGCACTTTACTGTGGCCATACTGCGAAGTGGATCCAAGCTGGGTTTCTGGTGTATTATCTCTCCTTCAGCCTCCCTAATTAGCCTCTCTCCCTCTGTCATAGCCAGCGCTGCCTTGGTGCTAAAGTGTCTAATGTATTCAGTGAGTGCAAGGCTGGGAAAAAAAAAAAGAAGCTCCGTGCCCCCCAGCATAACTTCTCCACTATCCATCCCTCTCACTCACCAACAGCTTCAGAAAGACCGAAGACTCTCTGCCCGTACGCATCTGTTTTATCCCAGATGTAAGTGTAGGCCAAGTTGGGTGAGGCATGGAACCACTTCTGGAAGAGGTGGCCTTCCACTGCTACCATCAGGTGAACCTTCAGCAGGCCCATGGACACCACCGCTGGGGTCATGGTCACCTTGAGCAGGGAGCGGTAACCCTGGGTCCTGGAACTTAGGTAGCACAGCTTTAAACTTGTGCCGGGCACCTCGATCTGCTCATGCAGCACCTGGAAGACAAAGAGAGGATGACAGGAGAGAGGGATTAGGGGGATTAGAGAGAGAGGGAGTAATGGGGGTCACGCTTCCACTGATGGCTGAAGGACAAGAAATGGGAAAAAAACAATGGAAGAAATAAAGCAATAGGAAAGAGGGGAACAAATGGGGGGAAGCTATGGAAGCGGAAGGAGAAGGAGAGAGCTACGAAAAGATAGGCATATAGGAGAGTGGGAAGCGAGCGAGGGAACCAGAAGGAAGATTAGCCGGCTGCCAGAGGTCAGTGTTACTGCACCTGTGTCTCCGGTATGATGGGTTTCTCCCCTGGCTTGGAGCTGAAGAAGGAGGAGAGAGGGGATGCAATCACAAGAGGGTCAGGCCTGACGAAGCCGCTCAGGTCACAGCCTGGGATCGTGTTCTCCTCTGTCTTAAGCACCAGAGTGTCCATAGCATAAAACTGGCTCCAGGGCAGCCACACGGTGCGCTCCTGGCTCAGGAAGGGGGCACGCTCGAACCGCAGAGTCAGTGATGCACCACCATTAGCTATCAGGTCAAACCTGGAGAGGTTTGCGAGAAGAGGATGGGAATGAGGCACAAATGAGGAGTGCTGTGGTGGATGGATAGTTATTTGGACAGTGTCAGAGTTTCTCCTTCCTCTTCCTCTAATATAATATACACTCCACTGCTTTAGGAATAATGCAACAACAAATCACCTGAAATAAATACTCGGGACATTATTTATTATGGTACAATAAACTCAGACGACATACAACAAGCCTACGTGTCTGGAAGGCCAGTCTAGACTTCAGTTGGGTCTGAAATATGAATATTACAAGGTTAGAACACTGCACTCAGAGTCGAAGTGATTTTATTAGATGTTATCCTTGAACCTTCTGTCACCAAATTATGGTGAACAGCTGTGGGTTAATGCAGACAAAAAGGTCACATACACAATTGTCATGTCTTATGGGAAAATGGGCAGAGCTTTGTTAAGTGTCTGGAACTGCCGAAGCCTAGAGAGGCCAAGAAAATAGCACTCAGCGAGACAAAACAAGGCCAGAACACGCTCATTCGAGTCTGTGAAACTGGTAACCGCGTCTGAAACACAAGGTCAATTAAATGTTACAAGAAGTTTCGATATTTCTGGAAGAAAAAAAAGCTGCAAAGAAACCATTGATAAGAGGAGAAAGTTGCTTAAAAAAAAACCCAAAAAATACCAGACAGGAGACACCAAAACTGCATGTTTAATGAGCGGAGGTCAGTCTGAAGAACCAGTGGATCAAATTTGGAAATAACATGTTCGGGATGTCAGACAGCCAAATTCAATATAAGTCGTAGCGGGGAAATTGGACAGAACAGTCAAATCAAAGCAGCCCCCCGAACTCCCCAGAAACTGGAATTCCTGCAGAGGAAATTGAAAGACATGTAAGATGAGTCAACGGAATGTGTTTTGAGAGAGGCTGTGAAAGGGGGAAAAAAAAAAACGTTATTTAAGAAATCCGAGATTTTACGGTTGTTAAAGTTTTTGCTTTAAGCGCTTCTTCGATTCCCCTTATTTTTGGTTTGACAAAACTTTGAGTACATGGAACATAACGTAACATGGACGAAAACATTCTCAGCCATGACATCAAACCACTTCGTGCTCTTAAACATTTCAATAATGAATGAGTTTTGCATGATCGTACTGCTTTCTTATTTTCTTACACACTTCTTCCATTGCATTCACTTCAAGGCAAAATGTAAATTCATCACATGTTGTTGTCAGAGATTGCAGCGTGGGCTTGTGCTTGCAAAACACATTTTCGCTCTTGCTGCTTTCTTTCTTCGCTATCTCTAATGTAGATCAGACAGCCTAGTTTCCTCATGGGATCAGTTTCCTAATCTAATCTAATCTAATCTAATCTAATCTAATCTAATCTAATCTAATCTAATTACATAAAACAGCCTATGTGGTGAGGTAGTTTCCAAATTTCAGCAAGGAGTGCTGGGTAGCTGTTGTACATACATTCCATCCTGCCGTGTCAGCGTGTATCCGTAGTGTGGATAGTTGACAAAAGACACGTTCACCCCCACCAGAGGGGTTCCATCTGTAGTCAACACCTGACCCCGGATTAGAGATGCCAAGCTGCAAGAAGACAGAAGAGACGGAGTGAGGCAAACGCGAAAGTCAATCCATCAATCCAAGTCTTCCTCGCCATCCATCATCTGATTTGATTAATCTCTCCATCTTTCAATCATCCAATTTGCCCAGTCATTTATTGCTCTGGTCTTCCTCCACTCATTAATTAGAAACAATCAGCAACCCCCACCATCTAGATGAGCTCGTGTCAATCATGTAAACAAACCGCGACAATGGAGATGGATCTGCGCGCACGTCCGCCTATGACTAAGCGTGCGGATGTGCGAGCGGCTGCGTCCTCGAGAATTGATGCACACGGAATAACATTTAAAACATTGCAGGGTAGCATCACTGTGATTAGTTATTTCCTTTGAAACATCTGATGTCGGCATGTGTAAATATATGCAGACAAAAAAAAAAAAATCAGCACCAGGGACGATGCCTCACAGCTCCACTAAATCTACGGGGAATCTTGGCTTGCCTGCCTTTGGCTCTGGGATTTGTTAAGGTCCTGGCCAGCGCTATGAGCCATTCTGGAGTCTATTTGATATTTGTGTTTCTGAATCTAAAGATAGTATATTCTCCATGCTATACATTTATTCACTTAAATGTCAGACCTTCTAAGAGCATCAAAGCACAAATCTCCCGGGCGGGCGCCATTATTTTTGCATCACGTTATTGGCAAACACAATGAAAAAAGCAACATGTGCTCCACCTGTAAATAATTGAATTCCTTATTTGAAATAGCAATAAACGTATATGTCTAAAAAGCACATTTCTCTTTTTCACTCAGATACACATTTATCCATCCAGCAGCTGGGTGACTAACTAACTAAGCTCTCACATCATTTAAAGTGTGTGATTTAATATTAGATGAACCCCTCTGAAGCCCCGAACCCGCCAGCTGGGTTGAAAAGCAAGTCAAAATCGCCCAAATTAATCCATCAATTAGAGCCGAAAAATGTAAAAACATAAAGAATGATGTGTTTTTTAACTTCCCCACGGTCCTGTAACTCATCTGTGACCAAATCTATGCTTAAAAATATGCTAATTCACATTATTTTTCTTTTTTTTTTCATTTAAAAATTAAAATAAATCATTTACAAAAACAATACTCTGTTAAAAAAAAAAACAAAAACCCTCTATGGTACTTGGGGCAAACATGAAGCCATTTATCACTCAGGTGTGATCAACATACATGTGACAAAAATTCAGCGATAATGCAGCTGAACTGGGATGAACTGCAGGCTGTGTTTACTCACGGAGCAGATAGGAGGCAAGTATGAAAACAAATTAAAAATGTGAGAAGTGAATGTTTTTTTTCTTTTCTTCTAGTTTTGGTAACACCTGTGTGAGCTTGGAAAATGATGTACTTAAAAAAAAAAACCCCAACAATTTTCAGTTTGTTTGTTATACGGCACAAAAAACATTTTTGAGTTCTCCTGGCCATTGTTGTGCTGTTTCCATAGAGATGCGGGTCTTTATATTAGAGAAAAATGCGACCACAGTGAGCAAAAATGTGACAGGAGTTGAAGAAACGACTTGGGGGTTCAGAGGGTTGGTTATATTTGCAGAAGCTTATGGGTTGAGCCCAACTGATATTGGTTTTTCCTTTGCTCTCTGCTTAACTAATCTGGAGATGATCTCACTGTCATTTTTACAGTGTTTCATCACTACACCACATGTCCTGTATCTAAAGCCAATCTGAGAAGAGAACACTGATGAGATAAAAGCTCCATGCTCATATTTTGCAATCTTAGACCTCTGAAGTCTGAGGAAAGCTTTGTCAGACTCTTGTCGGTTGTAACAGTATGCCTTTGCTCGTGCGCGTTTCCCGCCATACCTGGAGTTGAACGGGCTTTCCCCGGGGATGATGTGGGTGCTGTCTCGTCCCACAAGCATCTTGACGCGGTCGTAGAAGGACCGGACTCGGGGCTGGGACGTCGGGCTCTGCTGGATGACTTGCAGAGGGTCCCGGGAGCCCCTGCACAGGGGGCTGTTCTGGCAGGGACTCTGAATGCAGCAGTCTGGGTCCATGCAGTCTGTCAGTCCATCTGATAGAGGAAGGCAAGAGCAATGATGAGGTGGTGCCCCAACATTTTCTATTCATGATTTAACATTTTGATAATCTTTGTTTCTTTCACAGAGGAAGGTTTAATTTTTCTCCGCCCGTCATGAGGGTCTTCTCAGGAGGCTTCTATCTTAATTCTATTTACTTGTCGCTATCATCCTTTACTCCTTTTTTTATTTTTTTAGAGGCATTCTTAAGTGAAGGCTGCACTTACAACAGCTCCACCCCTTAATTTTTTTTCCTCCCTCTTTCCCCCCAATTCACCTCCTTCGTTGTCCTTGTTGTCGGCGCAGGAGGTCTCCATGGCAACACTGCAGCCGGGGCCCCTCCATCCTGTCTGGCATTCGCAATGCCAACTCTGCTGGCCCATGGTGCACTGGCCGTTCCCGTTGCACAAGTTAGGACAGCCATCTGGGTGAGGAGGACGGTAGGGAGAGAGGGAGAGGGAGGCGAGGAGGAAGGAAGGAAAAAAAAAAAAGGGAGAGAAAACGGAGGGGGTGATGCTTGTTGGTTTCGTCGCTTATGAAACACAGATGATAACACATCCTTACGCTCTTAAGGTAATGATAGGATCAATGAGTCTCACTCAGTTTAATAACCACATACTGGGAGAAAACTGTCAGCGCTGATGGTTCAAGAATCAGTGTAAATCAGCAGCCGAGTTTTCATGCACACCTTTCCGTCTTTATGTCTCTACACCTGAGGGATGGCTGCTGCGTGCGTGTATGTGTGGACAGAGGTGGATAGATCACTTTATTCACTTACTGGATAGAGCCCCACCCGATCATCACTCTCTCTCTCTCTCTCTCTTGCAGTCTCTCTCTCTCTCTCTCTCTTACTTATGATTCAGTGTAGGTAATGGGATTCTGATGGCCTGAGAGTAATGCTTTCTCATGAGAGAATGAGATTATGTTTGACAGAGTGTGTGTGTGCATGTGAGTGTGTGTGTGTGTGTGTGTGTGTGGTGGCAGTCTATGAACTAATAAACCTTCACTTTAGCTTATGCAAAAAAAAAAAAAAAACTACCAGAATCTAAGGCCCTGGAGCCAAGTAAGTTCTGTAACTAGCATAGCAAGGGCACCCTCAACTCAAGAGTGACTTTAAGGCAAAGGAAAGCAGACATTTTTAGGAGGGCTGGATAAGGGAATTTGCAATTATACAGGACATGTTCTCATGGTAACATTATCGGGTAATGTTTTACGGCTTGTCAAGAAAAGCTAAAATCATTTTTTGACAAGAAGATTGGTACCGCTCTCGTGTTTCCTACGAAGCTACAACCAGCAGCCGTTGCATAAATATAGGAAACAAGGGAAAAAGCTATCAGCACCTCTAAGCAAACTAATTAACATTCTACATCTTGTTTATTTCATTTATACAAAAAAAAAAAGTGTGAAAACTTAAATTTTGCCATTTCATAAGAGGTGTGTATGTGTGGGACTATTTCTTGCCTGGCAGCGGTGACTTCCTGGAGACTTGTTACTGCACGGTTGCCAGGAAACCAGCAGAGTCTCCTGGAAGTTATTGTGCTTGGCCACGAAAAAGTCCCATGCATAACCCCTCGTAAGACAAAAAAAAAAAAGTGTTGTTTTTACACTTTTGACAGAACCGGGCTCGCTTTTTTAAAAATGATTTTATCCTGTCTTTATGCTAATCCAAGCCAATTAGTTGCTGGCTCCTGATCCACACCGAATAGACAGACAGATATGAGCTCGTATCAATCTTCTCATCTAACTCTTGGCAAGAAATCAAACGCAGTATTTCCCAAAATGTTAATCTATTCCTTTAAAATCGCCCCCGATATTAAAATAATTTCACTAAATTGGGTTCATAGAACATCTGCTAAATGCCATGAAGTAAACGCTTTTGTTTCCGAGAACTTGCTGACATTTTTATAATCCATTTAAAAATTTGCATCGACGCTGAGACAATGTTGCCCGTCATTGTCTGTTTTATCGAAAAAATAAATAAATAAAAAGCCTTTAACTTCTGACCATTTTCCTATATTGCTCCAAATCACACCTTTCTAACTCTTAATTCGAGACTGTGTGTGTTTGCCACATTATAATCTATCAAGGAGAGGAGGGGGGAATAAAGGCACGATGACACACAATGACAATGTTTTCTCCAGCAGCACAAAGAGCCCCAAACAAACTTGTCACAGTGATTTCCTCTTCAATAAATGAGGGAGCGGGATGCAACACTCTTAAGTCTACCCACGGGAGATGGAGGCAAAGACAGGGTTGACTGATAAAACAATACGTGCATGCACGAAAGGCGCTTACTCACACACACACACACACACACACACACACACACACACACACATACGCGCACACAGACACACAACCAGCACGACGCACCCTGGAGATATGACCTGACATTTCTCACTCAGTAGTAGTGTGCCGGCACAGAGTGAGGAAGGACAAAATAACGCAGTAAGAGATTATGAATATGAAATGCTTTTCACTGAGTCCTGCTCAGTAGATTAATGAACATATTTTCACTCAAGTTGCACTGTAGGATTTTGCCCTCTAACAAATCGCTGCATCAATAAAGCAATGCATTATGAATACAAATAGTGCAATCTAAACCGTGGCAGCGGCTAAATTAACAGGCATTTCACCCCGATTGGCATTTTATCATATGTCTCAACCACCAGACGATGAGGGGAAAGTCAACAAAGGACTTTGAGGGAGACAGCGCGCCATCTTGTTTCGGGTGGCGGCGATGGTGGTGGTGGTGGTGGTGATGGGGGTGGGGGGAGATGGCAGAGAAGCTTAACAGCGTCTTTCAGCTCAAAAAGAAGAATCAAATCAAAGGTTTTATCTTTAATTATTACCATTTTCTGCATCAGGGGACTACTCATGATGCTGTATTAACAGTCAGGCTGGAATAGATTGTCCCCAAGTATTGAGCTCAGGGAACAAAGGCAGTTAGCAGTGATTGCCTGTTAAATGGAGTTGCCATTTAAAGCAGCCAAATACTTATGAAGCACCCGGACAGGACAATCCATAGCGGGCATTGATTGGCTTGCCTGGGCAGGCCGGCACGGGGCTCCTCTCTCTTTAATGCCAGGACCCAGTCGATACCCCCTCATACTAACTAGAATAAAGTGGGATTTCAGAAACTATTAAGTCCACCCTCCCCAGTAATGTAGTTGGACTCTGATGAAATCCCCTTAAAAAGCAGGAGAAATTGCCTTGGGTTATGGGTCAGCACACACACTCCTTGTGTAGCAGGCAGTGTCTGTGGGTGTGGATATGAAGGGGTATATGACTAGATAGATACCGTGTAAGACTCCAAGGATGAATTGAGAGTGTGAGAAAGAGAGAGAGAGAGAGAGAGAGGCAGGCGGAGATAAAGAAAGAGACAGTAAGAATGAGAACAAAGTGTATAAAAGAAACTTGACATTGTACTAAAAAAGTTCCACCATTCTCTCCATTCCGTCTCCGTCGCCTCTAAAGGTCATAAAGTAAAGGTCACGGCCATAAATCCATGATCACAGCTTATAGATGGACCGGATAGCTCTGTACTTCCTCAAATAAACCTCCGCTCATCTACTCGTCCTATTCTTAACAAGCTACCTTAGAAATTACATCGATTGCTTTATTCCACGTTGTTCCCTGACCTGTCTCTCGGCTTCCCTTTGGCTCCATCTGTTCTTCTTTACTCTCCCTCTGTCTCTTGCTCCCTCTTTAACCCTGCAATTTACCTTTTCTCTGGGCTGGCTCTTCATAAAACAATGAGAGCGATTCCATTAAGCGTAGAGGGTGAGAGGACACTCTCAACGGTGCTCCAGGGACCTGTACTGTCAGGCAATCTGTGCCGCTCCGTGCAACCCGACAGAGGTTCAGCTGCCGGGCTATCTATTAAGCATTCTTGTTGTGCGTGTGAGACAACTCACCCTAGACCTGCATCCTTCTCTGTTTGCATCAATGTCTTAACCTTCGCTGTTATTCTGTTTATCTTTGTGTGATCTGACTAAACTGTATTTTTTTTTTTCCTGTCGTGGCTTAGGTTGGCAGGGATGGGTTTGATGAAACGATAGAAAATCTGGAATTAATACTGAATGCTCGCTTGAGTCACGCTCGCAAGATCAAACACACACACACGTGCACACAAAATGAATTTATTAGCCACTCTACCATGGCCGCAACTGTTGCCACAAATACCCAAATGTGACACACACACACACACACACACACACACACACACACTTAGTGGCTCTGTATTTTTGACACCACATTAAGGCCGTGCATCAGTGGCCTATGAAATTCCCCAATTACCTCAAAAGTTCTTTACAACTTTCATCATTTTCTCCTTGTGTGAAGCAGCTGTGTTTACGCAATACATGACCAGAATACCTGAGCGTGATGTGTTTTGTGTTTTCAGGTTCCACATTAGGAATATTGAGGAGAACACGCTCACACGCATGCACGACCACACATTCACAGCACAGCCCCTCAACACTGCTGATACCACACTAGGCTCTACGGTACCCCACAACACATCAAGGCTCAATGACAGCTAAGCCCTGCTGTAGTGCACTGCTGTAAGTGGGAGTGCACTACATGTAGGGAGTCATCATTGAGACTGGCACCCTAATCTACAAACAGATAGCACCACAGAGTCTACAGAGCCAAGCCAGGCCAAAACCCACAAATGCAGCAGCTAGCTTCTACCACCACAGGCTAAGAAACAAAACACCAGAGTCAAGATACGGTACCTGCTTTGTCAACCATGCTCCCATGGTCTGCAGTGGGAGAAAATGTGCAAAAGGTAAGAGATGGGGAGAGTATTTTTAATTTTTTTTTTTTTTTTTTTTTTTTAAATAAATGCAAGCAACATCATGCAGAGCTGAAATGAATAACAGGCAAGCTGAGATAAGCTAACACTGAGAGTGTCTGGTGCTAGTGAAGTGTGCTTTGCGCCAAGCTGAGGCCTGACAACTCTTTCATCTTGGGCTGATGCTGCAGTCAAAGCTGCCCTACTTTCTGATGGGGGAAATGGGAAGATCATAAACTGTTATTCCCCTGTGCATATGTATGTGTTGGCGTGCGTGCGTGTGAGTGTATATATGTGCTGCTTTGTGTGTCTTCTGGTGTTTGTTTGGTGTGTGTATCAGATTGCAATCACAGTGCTTCTGGTGACAAGGAAATGAGACTTTGTGTCTCAAAGCACTGCCGGTGAATCAAAGGAATCTGGCACTCATCCATCCAAAGTGACAGTGATGTCAATATGAGACAGTGATTGACTGACAAAAGACACTCACACACACTCTAGCACAACTGTGTGCATGCACACAGACACAAACAATGTGAAAGAGTTATTTTTTGATCACAGTGAGGTGAAGAGTTATGCCTTTCATCACATAACTTTGGTGTTTCAAAGGCCATAAAAAACTAAGACTCCTGGGGTCTGCAGTTGAGAGGCAGCCTAAAAACAGCTAAATCCTGCTCTTTTGTAATCCTCCCACCCCCACTTCTAAGAAGTTTGCTCCTCTTCTCTCTGTTCGCCCACCTTCTACGTCAGCCCCCTTCTTCAATTCCCTATGGCCTTCCTTTTGCCTCCCTTCTCATTTTCCAAATTCCTTCAGCAAAGTAAAAAGGAGCTGCCAGTTTAGTCTGACTGGGTGCTGGTGTTTCTGTGCACACCCACGTGTTGACACACAGACACACATCAAACACACACACCTCCAGACACACACACAGACACTTACCGATGGTGCAGTGCTCTCCGTTCCAGCCCTGGTGACATTGGCATTTCCCGTCCTTGCAGGTACCATGTTTGATGCAGAGCGGGTTGCACACACGCTGGTCGCAGCCGGCGCCGGTCCAGCCCTCCTCGCAGCGGCAGGCTCCGCCCATGCACACTCCGTGGGTTCCACAGTCGACCGAGCAGACCTCTGAAGGAGAAAATTGGGTCACACACAACATTTCTAGACTCGAAAATGGATGTTTTATGTTTGTGTGATGATACCATTACTCGATAAGCGTGTTTAGACGCATTTTTAGATGTCTGTTGTTTCAACAGACATCAAAATGACATTTCAAAGTCTAGCAGGTACCACATGACGGTTGAACTAATTGAAATGCCTTTGAAACAGCGCTGACATGTAACCGAGTCTTCCAGTTTTTAAAAGTGAAATCACAACATGTTTTCTTCTGTGTTCTACTCCATCCCATGTCACAGCAGCTTTAAATTACTTGGGCGAGCGTGAAAAAAAGAGAGCACCTAAAGCTGCAAAACAATCAAATTCACATTACGCAAAATGCTAGTTTCCATCATGCACCTTTAATTAAAATCAGTGATTGGCTTTGTGACGACTGGGTTTATTTCCTGAGCCTCCATTACAGTCGGTGTCTGCGAGACTCAGATGTTGCAGGCGGCGACGGTGCATGTGGTGAGCTGTGACAACCGTGCTCGTGTGCTCGGGACCCCCCGGTGTGCAGGGAACGCAGTATGTACAGACGTTTTGATGCACGCTTGCTGAGGGATCCTGCGGTGTGAAACAATGTTGTCTTTATTAAAGTTAAGCATTGCTTTTCTCATAACAAATGCCGGCGCTCTTGTTTGTGCTCCTGAGATGGGGAAGCGTTGTCGGGCTGGCACGACGGAAGCCGCCGTCTCTCCGGCAGCGGGAGCTTTACGGCTTTATTTTATTGAGATAAGAGACTGGGAAAGTTGAGTATTTAATTATAAAATGCATTTCAACGTGAACTCGGCAAGTTTTACAAGAAATATCTGTCTTCTTCTTTTTTTTTTTTTTTTCCCTCCATCCTGGGGTGCAGCTGGGAATTATGAGCCTCGTGCCGAGAAAAGAAGGACTGCAGCCTTCCTCCTACTCTCCTATCCCATCTTTTTGTAAACTGCATGTGTCATATCCACGGCGTAAACACACATTCAACATTCATGCGCTCACCGGGTCCAAGGAAACACTTGGATCTGGCATTTATTACCTCTCCTGCACTAATATCGCCTAACTAGCTCCCAAAGCAATGCGTAATCAGTTTAAAAATTCTAAGAAATGTGACAGCAGCCCAATTATACCTCTCAGGTAAACATGCAAACGTCTTCCAACTGTACCTATACCGGCTAAATCTCGTGAGAAGGTTTCTACTTTGGTTCCAGTAAAGCCGTGCATGTCAATCCGTCACTACTATGTTTTTTGGAAGTTTAGAAACTGCTTGTGATTGGTTGTTTTGTGTGTGTGGGTCTGTGTTTGTTTTGTGTCTGTGGGCTGGGTGCGGGGGTGATTTTGTGGGTGTTTTTTTTTTTCTTTTCTCTAAAATATTCTTAAATTTTTTTTTCCCTTTTCTTTTGTCCTCGCTGCATCTTCTTATATTTCATTTATTTCATGTTGTTCCCGTTATGTAAAGCCCTCTGGAGTGAAAATTTGGAAAGTACAAGTGCTTTGCTTTGCTCATTTTTGGATTTTGAGCACTACCCTGATAATCGTAAAAAAAAAAAAAAAAAAAAGTGTCATCACCATACTGTCAGTGACGGTCTACCGGGAGAGATGATTTTATATAGTGTTGACAGTAAAAACTTGCCACATTTCTGTCCTGCGCGTTCCAATTTGGCAGGTTGTAAATTTTGCGGTTTTGTTGATTCGAAATAAAGCGACAAACTAATTAGCAGCGTACCCTGGGACCACAAAATATGCTGGGATGATGGGTCAGAAGCTGTTTTTTTCTCCAACTCTGACCCTACATCTTGCCTCTGTGTGTTTAACTCCTGCAGCTGAACCAGTGTTGCACCGTTGGACTCACCCATGGAGCAGTCGGGTCCCATCCAGTTGGGGTCACAGCTGCACAGCCCAGTGTCTGGTATGAAGGCGCCGTGGCCGTGGCACTGGTCTGGGCACTGGGCCCTGGGCAGCTCGCAGTGGAGCCCTCCCCAGCCTGGCTTACAGTGGCACTCCCCATTCACACAGATGCCGTTGTTGGAGCACGTCGGATCCAGGCAATCCACTGCATTAAGCCAGTGATAAGCCAATGTTGAAAAAAGAAACAAACAAACAGGGGAAAAAAAATAAAAAATGAGCAAAAACTAACACAGGCTAGAAAATGTCACATCAGAGCAGATGATAGAAACAAACTAATTGTTTTTTTGAAGCGACAGAGGACATATTTTCATTCTTTCGGTACACAAAAGAGATAATGAAATAAAGGAAAATATTACCAGACATATTACCAAAGCAATTAAAGCACACGATAATGAACAGCTAAGTCTATAATTGGGGCATGGCGGCAAACGTGCTCCAATATGTGAGAGAGCGGCGAGCTTCGCTGACACATCATTCGGTGCGAGCGCTCGCCTTTCGCGCATCAGCGTGTGGATGCATTTATGTGTACGTGCGAATACACGGGGGAGAACCTGACACTGTCAGTCTGCCAGGTTGACAGGCAGCTCTGAGTCCGAGCAGTGAGTGAAAACCAATTTGACAAATTACCTCCTCCCGGCACAGCGCCCACCCACCCCTCCTCAGGCCTCCTCTCATTGCTCTGTCCCGGTCACTCACATTTTCCCTCCCTCTCCCTCTCTCTCTCTCTCCTTGTCCTCTTATGTGTGACACCACTCTCCCCCCACCCACCTCCTCCTCCACCACCACCACCACCACCTCAGGCATGATTGACCCCATCGCACCCCTTCGCACACACATATTAATAAAAGCGCACGGTCGCCACATAACCTCGGCCCTCCATTTCTGTTTGCCTGGCAGAAATGGCGGATCACAGTTATCGATTTTCATGTCGCTGGCACTTCAGGTAAATTGTTTGAGGGACTCTGCTGTGATGAATATCAGATTTGAGACCAGAGGAGGAGGGGATAAAAAAAATTGGATGAGAGGGGAGATGGAGAGAAAAGATGAGGTGCAGAAGAGAAAATGCTGACCTTGTTCCCAGGCCCTGTGTTTTGACTTCTTCTGTCACTCTCCTTCCTTTCTTTCCCTCCTGTCTTTCTGTGCTTCACCCTTGGCACGCTGCTTTCCCTTTTTCTCCCTCCTTTCTTTCTCCTCAATTCTCTCTTTCTTCATGCATATTCACCTCTCCCCACCCCTCCCTGCTTGCCATCTTTTATCCCTCCCTTGCTTTCTTGATGACTGAGAATGTGGTGTGCTGATCCTTCTTAACAAGGATCAATAGAAGCGATTTCAACCCTTAATAAAATCTCTGATGTGTTTGGCTGCGGTATCATACCTCATCTGTATATATGGAAGAAACGGGGCACTCGGTTGAGATTATGCCACGATGAGGTGTCTAACCGGAGTCGGAGGGGAGTGTGTTTATGTGTCCGAAACCCCCGGCGCACATTTAAACCGTCCCTGACCATCACCGCACCATTAACGCTCTCACCCTCTGCACAGTTCTGCCCTTTGTAGCCGATGGAGCACACGCAGTTTCCATCAGTGCAGGTGCCGTGGCCGCTGCAAAGAGGGTCTATGCACTGCGTGACGGGGACGTCGCACTCGGGTCCTTTCCAACCGCTGTAACACACACAGGAGCCCTTGTCGTATTGGCCGTTGCCGCTGCACAGCACCGGGCATGCCGCTGGAAGAGGAGGGAAAAGAGGGGCGAGAGATTAAAACCCTGTGCATGAGGGAAGAAAGGAAAACAATTAGCGGGGTCTTTTTAAAGATATTCTCAAAAGCCACACTGCCCACCCGCACGCATCCACACCCCACCGCGCAGGAGGGCGAATAGAGTGGTTAAGGGGCTGGAGAGTGCCAATGACATAAAGAGTAATTACAGGCAGAGGTAACTAAACTATTCATCAAAGCTGTCTATCCCAGGTGAGCGCAGAGCCAGGGAGTCGTTAGCTCGGGGAGCTGCCATTCATCATCAGTCATCTTGTCTCAGCTCCACCTAAGGCCATGCGCCATCTTACTGCTCTTAATCCTCTCCCCTCTCCCTGTGTCTGCTCATCTAATTAGACGTTGGAGAGTTTTTTTTTTTTCTCTTCTTCTTCTTCTTCTGACGGAGGCAACACATTTGTAAACAGCTAATACCTTTGGAGCAGTCCATGCCATGGAATCCTGGGAAGCAGTGGCACACACCAGAATTACACTCGCCGTTACCATGGCAATTGCGCGGGCACTCTTGCACTGAATCTGTGAAGAAGATGAAGTGAGACAGAGAGAAAGAGGGGAGGGGGTTGAGAGAGAGAGAGAGTTTGATGGCAAGCATCAAAGCATTCCATTAAATCATTGGCACCATTCATTCTTTAAGATACTACAAATTGAGGCTCCGCGTCGCACAGTCGCGCCGACATCAAAAAGCAAACACCCTCCTGCCCCTTCAAGGTTCCACGTGTTCCCTCTTTTTTTTTTTCCCTGTGCATTTTTCATGGTGTGGAGAGAATGCATTTTGAATTTGTCAAGATGGTATCAATTACCCGTCCACCAATGCTCCGCGCGCTGTATCGGAAAATAAGAGCGTTCCCTCGTTTGCTTTACACCGACCCTTCTCTACATTCTAGCACTTCGTTTCCTCGTTTTGGTTGTTTACTCCTCACTCTTGTCTGGCCCCACCGAGGTCATTAATACTTCATCCAGGTGAGGCTGTTTGGCGCAGCAAGACTCTTATGTGCATATTTCTAGTTTGCTCTGTGCGCTTTTTAATGCTTCTTAAATCACTTACCAGAAGAGAACAGTTTTGGTGGGAAGAAACAGGGTCGATGCTAATCAGGAGGAGGCATTTTCGGACTTTTATCCATCGCTTCCTCCTTTCTGCCTTTTTTTTTTTTTTAAACTCCAATTTCCACTCTTCTTACACAAAGCATTACTCAGCCTGTCCACGCCGCCTGCCTCTCCTTCTCTCTCTCTCTCCGTCCTCAGCCATTTCCCCCCCAAAAAAATCTAAGCCCCTTGTCTCCCTCTTACCCTAATGCCACCCTCTCTTTCACTCCCCTCTTCAGCTCCTCCTCCTCCCATCCTTCACTCCACTTCATTCCATTCTGGCTTTGCCCCTACCATTATGCATTTCCTCCAACTCCCCCACTCTCACTACTCACTCTAATTCTGCCCTCGCCGCCTCTGCCTCTCCATCTTTCCATCTCTCCACTACTCCTACTGCTGAAAGCTCTACCCCCAGATATTGACAGTGAAGGATTCTTTAACTCTGCTTGACTCTTTTCTATCCATCTCTCCCCCCTTATTGCCCCCCCTTGTTCTCACACTCGTGGGTTCCGGCAAAGAACGGGAAATTATTCGGGGTGCCGCGTCAGATCCGAAAATCATTGCGTTTGCAGGACTGTGGCACTGTTTTATTTGGACGTGCTTTGGTGCTCTTCAGTAGGTTACTCATCCGCTTCATACATTAACACACACGGTGTAAGTGATTCTAAGCTTTTTTGGATATAAAAAGTTGGGTTTCCGAATGCGTAGCGTGTCCAAGTATGTTTTGGCAAAGCTAAACTTTTAACTCAATGAGTGGTTCTTCCTGCTTGGCACTTTTACTTTGGTTGTATTGCTGTTGGCAACATTGTGTACATGCTGCCGGTGGGTATTTTTGCACATTGGGAAGGTGTAAAAGTCATCGACAAACTGCGATTTCGTTGACCAAAATACTACTATCGCTGGTCAACCACCTTCTAATCCTATTTTAGCTCCCGGCCCACACATCCCCGCTGCAGCACCGTCCCTCCTGCCCACAACAACAAACGCCGACTCCGTCTCACCCATGACATTTGTGCTGAAGGAAACCGTCTCTCTCTCCCGACCGTCATTGTAGAAGGCCAAGTGCCAGGCACCGGCGTCCAGGTACTGGACAAACACCGCCTCATTGAGGACCACGGTCTGGATGCTCCTCCTCTCCCGCGGAGACTCCACCACGCTCCATTTCTCCTTCCCATCGAGACGCTCCATATAGTCGTACTGCAGGGAAGAAGGTATAAGACAATTGAAGCCACAACGCAAGAGGGAACTCTATAATTCAGCTATGAAGTGCTGCAGTGATACTTTTCAGACTTCAGAACATGACCCACAGTTGTACGTGCTTTAAGATTAAAGACTTGAGGGAAGTAAGTGTAGCTAAAAAAAATAAAAAATTGCCAGAGAAACATAAAGAATGCAACACAGAGCTGCTCGTGGGTCGTCATTCTCTTTGGAAAAACATTTTAGAGAACTGTTTTTGCTGCAGCACAGTAGCCACAACCGCGTGTTTTTTTTTTTTTTTTTTTACCAGCTTAAGTCAGGTCAGGCAGCGAAACAGTTATCTGCATGCAATTATCCCTTCCTGCAAAACGAATTCATTGTTAATTGAGTAGTTTCTAATTAATAGGAAGCAGTAAAAGTTACATTACTGTGAAATTTAATTAAGTGTAAATCTTAGTCTAAATGAGTTTTTTCAAACAACTATTATAATGAATCACAAATGAATTCTAACATGTCCCGTGAAACAAGCAGGGTTTCTTCTTTTTTTCGTGCGTCTGCATTCTCCGTTGCATTTGATGAAGATTGTTCATTCATTATGTAGCGTTCGTAATGAATAAAATAATAATCCTGTGAGTAGCCTATTACCCCAAAGGGGGTTAAGTCTAGATGTGCTGGTGCAGATTTTTTTACCTGTGCGTGCGAGGGAGGCAGGCCCTTGCGGATGTACACTCCGAATAGGGCATCCTTGCCGAGGGAGATGTTGAACTTGAGGAATTGGGGTTGGCTGAGGTGAAGCAGGGACCTCCAGAACACTCCCGGAGGGACTTCTTGGGTCACCCGCCTCCCCACCTCCAGGTTGCCGGTGTCTATACTGCTGTTCCGGCCGGCCCACGGACCTGGAGCGAGGGGAAAAGAAACTGCATAATCTGTGATTACGGGCGTCGATTGGTGAAAACCAGCAGTTAATCATCACTGGAAATAATCTGCTTCAAAACAAAAAAAAGTAACAAACAGTACACCATTAGCTCTGTGCGCTGGAGTTAAAATGAATGTTGTTGTATGTTATGGTGGGATGCAAAGTGATGCCTTTGTGTCGAAGCCGGGTGACTTTGTTGTCTGGGCTGAAATGATAGAGGTGCCAGTAGAGGTTTCCCGAGCAGACGCGGCAGACAGAAAAAAAAAAAAAACACACAGCATCCTGCAATCAGGTCAGTCATCTAACAGCAGAGTGTCGGGGCCCAGACAGAAAAAGACAAAGTGCGAGGAGTGCGCGCGCCGGTGTGCAGAATATCGAAGAAACGAAGGTAACAATGAGAAGAACAACAGCAGCATCTGGCCGAGACGGCTGGGGAACACAACACAACAGTCCTCTCATTAATACAGAATACAGACACGGAGCAGCAGCCCACACCTATACCTATAGTACAAGCTGTGTGTGTGTTACAGAGAAGAGATCGAGCGAGTGAAAGAAGAATAGATAGAAAACCGCATGGGGGCTTTAAAAGAGAGAGGAGGAAGGGGGGGACGAGAGGGAGAGAGTGAGGGGAGTTTTACCTCGCTGCCGACTGAAACGATAAACCTAACTCAACACAACCCAGCGGAGTGGTTAAACAGCACATACTGATAGCACGGCTCGCACTGCGTCATGAATTATATAAATATTTTAGCTGTGTGAGCCTGTTTGGGTGCAAAAAAAAAAAAAGAATCTATTGCATATGCAGCATTTAAAAGCCATAAAGGATAAGACTGCCTGCATTTATTTATTTTTTATTATTTTTTTTTTTAGCAAATCCAATGTCTATCTGTCCTTCAAAACTTTCTGACTTCCCTCCCCTGTCTGCTGCATTCATGCCTCAAGCCAAATTGTTCCTACTTGAAGACGTGAATTTTCAAAAATGGGTCAGAGATGCGGTGTTGTATTTCAGGTGGAGAATAGTGATTTCGGCTGAGAACTATTTGCAGCTGTGCATTGACACACAGCCGGAATTTGCATTTATAGCACCACGACGGCATAAAGAACTGATTGAAAACAAACCAGCGCCCCTGCTTCAACACGTCACAGTACTCGGTGTGCCAAATTAATATGTGTTTAATAGCTGTTGGACAACAACGGGGCTCTATGGCGCAGAGAAATAAGCTATATCAGGCTTTGGCAACACATAGAGTACTTGTTAGGATCTATTTATTGTTGACTTTGGGACTTTTCATGGGATGTGTTGCTAGGAAGAAAGAATGCGGAATATTAGCCGCCTAATCCTTTCGGTTTTTCCACATGTGAGACATTCGGTGCCACGGGCAGATTGGAGATCTCACTGTGGGGGTGGGGGTGGGGTGGGGGGTGTTGTTCATACCTCGGCCTCCAGAGGGCAGTGTGGCCACATCGCTGTTGACAGGCAGACCAGCTCCCAGGCCGTTGTTGAGCACGGGGCCGTCGGATGGCTTCAACTGCCACGTCAAACCCAGCAAGTTGATCGCTGCACACAAAAGAGACGGAGAGTGAGAGGACGTGGTGTTGGTGGTGGTGGTGGGTGGGGTGTGAGGGAGAGAGAGAGAGAGGGTGGGTTGGATGGGGGGGTATGTCTTGCTTGGTTGGTTGTTTGTCTGTCAGTGGGGTGGGTAAGAACAAACAAAACAACAAAACTTCAGTTGAAAGCTCATCAAGCCAAAAGAAATACAAGAGACCGGCCCTCTTAAGTCTGATCTGCCATTTATCCTGTAGCTTTTATAGAATGTTGCCTTTATGCTTGCGCCAGCGCGTATCAATCAAACGCATTGTTATCAAAGTGGCAGGTGACCCAAAGCGCAAAAAAAACCCAAGCACGTCTCACCAAACATACAATTAAAAACCATAAAAATCCCTCTGTCTCCCGCTTTTCTTTACCTCAACCTCTCACAACCGTCTTTCAGCGTGACAGCATCTTCTGCTTTTATTTGGAAGTCTTTACACCATCTCACAGAGAGCCGGTGACAGATTGCTCTCTGAAGAGAACGCTCTATGACTCTCCTTTCCCTTCTCCTCTTCTTTTGTCCTCTGTTGTGTTATTGTGCGCTGGTGGTATAAGGCTGCTCGAGTGTGTTCGCTCTTCACTTTGTCAGCTCTTTACTCTCCCCACGTCTCTTCCCTCCTTAGCCTGCTGCCAAGTGTATCCTCCACCACCTCCCCCCCACGAAAAAAAAAGAAAAACCGAACAGAAAGAAAACCGTCTGCTCCCTTACTGTATGCAAAAGTTGTGTGATTTTCTTTTTGGTGCATTTCTGTTTGTTGTAAATGACTGTTTTGATCTGTAGAATGCTTTTTTTTGAACTATCTCCGGAGCGGAAAGATTGGAGCTGCATCGTTTGCTCATGTCTGAATATTTAAACTATAGCAGAGGCACAATGCACCTGCCGTATTGTGTGTGTATAAATGAATACCGTGATGTGATGATACACATAGATGTGTGATTGCCTACAATGCATTATGTAGGTGTTGCTGCCAGCTTCCCAGCTTTGGCCTTATCCCCTCTTCCACACAAGCCTCACAACACCTGCATCTGAAGCCTGGGAATCAATTTCCTTCTTGTCAAATTCTATCTCCACTTGCCCAGGGTTTGCACACACGGGGATGAGCGTGGAAGTTGCAGAAGAAGGGGGCATGCGGCTTTAGGATTTGCTGCCGGGGCAGACTCATTCTCACCCTCGATGTCCCCGTCTCGTCCCCCTCCTCTCGCTTCGGGTTCTTTGTTTCTTCCTTTTTATGTTTCCTCTCTTTCTCCCCTCCCTCGCTCCCGGTCAAAGGAAAGCGCTGACACCTTGGCTGCTGCCCGGCCTCCACTGTCAGCTCTTTTTTTTTTTTTTTTTTT